AAGGCTGGCCTATCAAATGGGCCAAGGCAGTTTCTTTATTAGCCAATGACCTTCCTCCATCACCCAAAGGTGGCAGCTAGGATAGACCTAACCTTGCTGCTGTTCCTCTGAGGCTGAGACCTTGGGGAAACATCCACACATGCTCAGTGCAGGAAGGGTTGAGATCAAACTGGGCAGAAGTGCTTCTCTGCTCTGCTGGTACCAGGCAGGGACCAGGTTGGCCAGGCCTATTTCTGTTCTCACACGCACTGGTACCATGTCTTAACGGCTGTGGTCAGTCTCACAACGTGGCCTCTCCTCATTCACCCACTGACGCCAAGCCAGAATTTTTCTCCCATGGGGCAGCCAGGTTCCATTTGGAACTGGCCAAACATACACAAGCCAAATTTGTTCTCACGCCACCTCTCCCAAGTCCTGACTTGAAATGGCAGCCACAGTAGGCTGGCCTCACTTTCTACACTTGGTTTTGACTTGTCATGCCCCTATGGCATCTCTAGTGTAGAGGCTGAGCCCCACCAGTCACCAGGAAGCCTCACCCAGACTAGCTGCCACCTGCTCCAGTGTCTGTTTTGAAATCAAGAACCTGTGGGTGGCGCTATTGCTCTCATAATGTCTTCTCATCTGGGGTCACAGTGAGGATAAACCTGGAGGGGAGGAGAGGCCTGCTGCCCTAGCCATGGTGGCTCTAGACCAGTTGCCTGTTGACAGGCTGGGCTTTCCCGCATGGGGTTGACTTGGGCCATGGTCATTGACTTTAGAGCCCAGCAGGACCTGACTCCTATTTTTGTTTGTTTGTTTTTTGTTTTGGGGTTTTTGAGACAGGGTTTCTCTCTTTAGCCTTGGCTGTCCTGGAACTCACTCTGTACAAGAGCCTGGCCTCCAACTCACAGAGATCCGCCTGCCTCTGCCTCCCCAGTGCTGGGATTAAAGACGTGCACCACCACCGCCCCAGCTGTGGGCCGACCTCGAGATCACGTCCAGTGAGCCCAGGGCATCTGCTGCCTGCCGAGGAGCCAGTCCTGAAGGGAGGAAGCAGGGATCAAGGCATAGACAGTTGTTCAGATTTGTTTTAAAAAATATTTAATATCATAAAATTTCAAAGCGCACCCTCTATTGGATAAACCAGTTCACCGGCAGTGTAGAGTGCCCCTCTGACTTTGTAGGTTACCCACAAATGCCGTGCAAACACGTGTGTGTGCACACAAAAGAGACTGGGGGATTATTAACCCTGGTTATGCAGACAGTGCAGTTATAGAATTTGTACTCTATCCTTTAAGTTTTAAATTTAAAATTGATTTAAAAAATATCCCCAGAGACCCCAGTGCTACAGCTTGGTCTGTCCCACAGGTGGTCACAGCACAGGGCCACCCCTCACTCTGAGATGTTTTGGCGTAAGCATAATTTTGTTGTCAATACAGCAACAGCAGGGGGACATTCTGGGGGAAGATGGCATTGCTAGGAAGGCTGGCTTGGGCCACACAGCCAAGTCCATTTTAAACAAGATACTATCAGCCAGGCGGTGGGGGCGCACACCTTTAACCCCAGCACTAGGGAGCAGAGGCAGGCAGATCTCTGTGAGTTTCAGGCCAACCTGGGCTACAGAGTGAGTTCCAGAATAGTCAGGGATACACAGAGAAACCCTGTCTCAAAAAACAGAGAGAGAGGGAGGGGGAGGGGGAGAGCGGGAGGGAAATGGGAGGAGGGCAGGAGGTGGAAATTTTGAATGGTATTATTTATAAAGCAATAAAAAAAAAACTAAAAAAGCTGAGAAAGAAAAAAAAAACCGAGAGAGAGAGAGAGAGAGAGAGAGAGAGAGAGAGAGAGACTATCTACACACACCTCTACAGGTGGCAGGTGCTGTGGGCCCTGTGGGCACATCTGAGCCTTGGGTGAGGGGGCTCACAAGGGCAGGTCTAACCCAGCACCCAGTGGGCTCGTGTTAGCACTGAGGGCTAGACAGGGCAGAGTACAGGGACACCAGAGCCAGGACTTGATGGTACTTGTGTTCTGCTCCACTCCAAACCCGTGCCCCCGGCCTCTCTTCCTGTAAACAGTAGGGAGTTTCTCCACAATGCATCTCCTACTTTCCTGCAGCTAGACACGGGAAAAGCACTGTACCCAGCTGGCATCCAGATGTGCTGGGCTGCAGCCATGAAGATGTCATGAGGGTGTCTGTCCCCCACAGTCAGTCCTGCCTTTATGTCCTGTGGTGTTTTCTCATTGCCCTTAGGGGCCTCCAGTGAAGGTCATTTTTGCTTCTGATGTTTACCTTGGGTGGTCAGAGGGCACCGTTAAGCCTGATGGTCTTTGTGGTAACGCTGACACTCCAGGTGCTATGTTTATGTACATATTTATCTATCTTCTCTAAGACTTTCCACTCCGTGTCACCCATGACTGCCAGATGTCCGAGCACTGGAGGCTGTGACTCCCAGGCCTTTGCTTTGCTGTGGGAGGAAGTCACAGTGGCCCCGTGCCCCTGCTCAGCCTTGTGTCAGGACAGAGGCTGCATTTCCCACTCCCTTCACATACGCAGGTGCCCTGACCACACCAGGCTAGATGCTGGCTCTTATGAGAGCAACACTGATGCCTCTGCTTCCTGCTTTGGTTCTGGGGATTCTCGTCGGTTAAGATTGAGAGGATGGCCAGGGAGGTAGAGAGGTCCTCTGGCAGGAAATGAAAAAACATGGCTCCAATTTAGATCTGGGATGTCCCCAACAGCCTGTGGACTTGAGGCTTAGTCCAGGCTCAGGAGCTGGTGGCAGCTACGGCTGAGGAGGTTTTTCTGGTCATGGGGCTGTGTCATTGAAGGAGAGTCTGGGGCTCAATCTACTCTTTCCTTTCTTCAGCTTCCTGTCCTCCCTGAGATGAGTGGTTTTGTCCCGTCTTGCTCTCTGCCACAATTGGTTGCCTCACCACCAGTCAAAAGTGGTGGGACAAGCTAAGCACAGACCTCTGAAGCTATGAGTCAAGAGAAAACTTTTCCTGCCTCCAATTGATTGTCTCCGGCGTTTTGTTACAATAACAGAAAGCCAGCTTTGTGTTACAGATGGGAGATTTAAGCTTGGGTAAGGAGGGTCATTTGTCCAGACATTAAGAAGTCAGTGTCCTGACATTCAGGCGGAGGCCTTGTGCAATCCCAGCCAGCCTTTCTTTGAAGCCCAAAGCTCTTTTGTTCTTTTCTAAAGATTTATTTACTTTTATGTGTATGAGTGTTTTGCCTGCATGTATGTCTGTACACCACATGCATGCAGAGTTACTGGAAGCCAGAAGAGGGCATTGGGTCCTCTGGATCTGGAGTTATAGATAGTTGTGAGCTGCCGTGTGGGTGCCGGGAATCAAACCCTGGCCCTCTGGGAGAGCCGCCAGTGCTCCTAACTCCTGAACCATCTCTCCAGCCCCAGAAGCCTGAAGCTCTTGGCGAACTCACCATCTTGTGGATATCCTGGGCCCATTCTTTGTATACATGGAGGGGTCCCCTCCTCCGACCTCACACAGGAAACCCTCCCAGGCCCAAGGGGAAAGGCTGCCGGTCTGCAGCATGGCCCCAATCTCACTCCCGCCAGCCTCACTCTGGTGAGTCCTAGCCTCCCTGAGGCCCCTTCAGGGGTGCAGAGTGTGAACCCCAGCGAGTGCATCCCTGGGCACCTGGGTGGGTCCACCTCCGCTGGGTGTGTCTCTAGATGGGGATGGGCCCAGGACCTGCTCTTAATGACACAGTTTGGGCAGCTGGACTCTGTTCCCGCAGGTAAATTACAGGCTTAGCAAGTCAGAAATCAAATAAACGCTCCAGCTCCCAGCAGCTGCCCCAAGGAGAGCAGTGGTTTCTGAGCCTCCCCACCCAACTCGGCCTAATTACCACCTGCCATCCCCTGGGACAGGGGCCCTTTCTTTGACTCACAGGTCCCAGAAACAGGATGGGGCTGCTGGGCCCCCAGGGTGACGCCAACTTGGTGACCAACCTGTTCTTAGTTCCCAGACATAAGCAAACGTGGACACTCCTCCCCTTTGCCCCACGCCTGACTGGAGGGCCCAGGCGGAATGGGAATGGGTGGCTTTTCCTGGAGAAGAGGGAAGCCGAGACCTTTCCCTCCGAGTAGCTGGTGGCGGCATTCTGCGGCTCTGTGCTGAGGATGTGGACTGTCCAGGTGCAGCTGAGCGCTCGGATGGGGATCCCTGAGCAGGCCATCAGCTAGAAGAAGCAGCGGCCCCCACTGGTGCCAACCTGCACCGGTCACTTCAGGGTGTTCTCGCTTCTGTCTCAGCGTCCAGCCCCCAACTGGTCAGCATGGTAGCCATGGTAGAGGGAACTGGAAGTTCCCAGGGTCCTTTGCTCCTAGGCAGAAGGGCAGGCCCAGGACACAGGTCATAAAATGTCCCTTTCACTGGTCCCAGCCAGATGGTTCTTTTGTCTTCTCTTTTTTGAGACAGGATCTCCCTGTGTGGCCTTGAACTCACAGAGATCTGTCTCTCTAGTGCTGGGGTTAATGGTGTGCACTACCACAGCTGCCTCTGACTAGTCTAACAAGTTAACTCCGCAGCGCAGGAGGACAGCCATGCACTGATCTAAGTGGGCGTGTTTGTTATATCTAGACACGCCCCCCCACCCCCTGCCACGGTGAAGAGTGCAGAGCCCAGACCAGCCAGTTTCACACTCCAGGGCCGCCTTAGACCATCAAGGATTGACCATTCTGGGCTGGGGATGGCCAAGGACCGGTCTTCCTCTCATGTGGGGGGGGGTCTTCAGTGCTGACCCCAGACCCCTCAGTCAGCACAGCTCTGGGATGCCAAGTGCACTCAGTCTGTGCTTGGGGGAGCGGAAGGGGGTAGGCAATAGGCCACAAACCCCAAGGAGGGGATAGAGGAGCTGGGAAAAGACCAAAATTTTAGCAGGAAGTGGCCAGGGGAAGTCAGGGTCTCCCCGTTGCCCCCATCTGAGCTACGATAGCATAGGAGGGTTTCCTGCCTCTGGAAAGGGGCCCGACCAGCTGTGAAGCAGGGCCTCAGTGGCAGCCGCAGGCCTTGACCACCATGTTGCGGTGCTTGCGCAGGATGACGTTGTTGCTGCTGTCGTAGTAGAGCACAGAGGTGGCACTCAGTTTGGTGGGTGCGCAGCAGGCCTTGGGGACGACATCTGGCTTCATCAGGTGTACCTGGCAAGGAGGGAGGGGATGCAGGCAAGGGCATGAACCTGGTGCCCTCCTCAACGACCTGCCCAGCAAAGCCCCGGCTCTCACTTGCTCCCTTTCCAGATGCTCTTAGCATCTTTGACCAGCCCAAGGTCATTCTCTACCTTTGGCTAGAGTAGCTCCCGGCTGTACCTTTGTCCCACCCTCTGACCTCAGAGCACAGTTCAGGCACGAGCTTAGAGGGCCTGACACACACTCTCGGCCCCCGGTCCACTGCCATATCAGCTCTACCAGACACAGACGACTCTGCTGGTCCCCAGCACTGGGTGCCCATGGCTGTGTACCCGCTGAGGTGCCTCTTCTGGACTCTCACTGCCCCAGACTGCTCTGCGCGTTACTATATCCCTAACAGGTGTAGAGCCGTGTAGTGTGTGTGTGTGTGTGTGTGTGTGTGTGTGTGTGTGAGAGAGAGAGAGAGAGAGAGAGAGAGAACAGACTGAGTTAGAACACATAAGCTCTTGAACTCTGTCCCACTTGATGTGGCTCAGCCTCTGAACTTGTGAGACAAGACTGGCTTTGTAGGTGATGCACAGAGGCAGTGGGGTACCCACCGCCACTGGCCTTGAAAGCGGTGGTAATCCACAAGCCCATCGCTGAAGCCGTTTTGCCTTCCTGAAAGTCTCAGTGAGTCATAATCTTTCAGCCTCTAAACATGCTTATCCCGGAGTTCAAACGGGAGTCCTCTCAAGGTTCCCACCAGAAGAGGAGACAAGAATCTAACACCTCCATGTGCACGTGCATGTGTGTGTTCAGACGCCCCGAGCTCCACAGGCTTTCCAGGTCCTGGGAGCAGGGGCTCCATAAAGCAATCTGATGAACACTCTCTTCCTATAGCCTCTGCACTGCAGCCCTGCTGACTGGCCCCACTGCAGCCGTGGAGGAGGACAGGTCTCCAGGGTGACATACAGCCAGACTGGCAGCTGGGGGTAGCTGCCGCCCACCTCTCCATCTACAAATGCATGGGGCAGAACTAGGAGATGTCTGCTGTGCGTATGAGTGTGTGTGGAGGGGTGCTGAAATGGCTGAACTCCAGAGGGGGCTTTCCTGAACTGTGCCACTGGAAAGAAGAGGGTAGACACCATAAGGTACCTCCTCCTTCCCACACTGGCCACAGCCCTAGGCTTCACTGAGTGGTGATAGGGAGAACAGCCTTTTGCTCACACAGCATCTACAAACTGATTCACAGCACGGATGGGGCCATCTGTCCTGGAACTTGCTATGTAGATCTGACTGGCCTCGAACGCACAGAGATCCACCTGCCTCTACCTTCTGAGTACTGGGATTAAAGGTGTGCACCCCCACAGTGCCCAGTGTGACTTTCTTCGTTCTATTGCTGCCCTGGACGGTCCTGATGCAGAAGCCCAAACCAGGCTCTCCCTATCATCAGTAAGCCACTTTACCCCAGAACACGTGGTTCTCCTCTCACTCACTGTTGCTTTGCTTACATTCTTACTACAGCCTCCCCAGGGCACAGAGACAGTCACATCTGCTGCCAGGCAGGTCATGAGCACTTGCTTACTTTGGCCAAGCCATTGTCAACAGGGGAAACAGAGGCTAGAGCAAAGTGGGGAGGAAACGAGACCTGGGAGGCGAAGGTCCACCCATCATACCAGGGGACTAAAGACTGAGTATCTCAGTGTCACCCTGGGCTGCTCCTCCCAGGACAGAAGTGGCCACGGTGAAAGGCCTTAGCATCAGCTCTGACAGCTCTTTGTAATTCATGATGCTCAGTCCAGGGCATCACTTGGCACAGCCTCTTGCTAGATAAACACAAAACCACGGGGCACCAGGATTCCAGGAAAAGCATTCTAGAATAAGGTCTAGACCCCAGAGTCAGTAAGCACCAACGCCTGTCAAATACAGGCTGCGGTGTGGCTCCTGCTAGAACCTGCTTCCATCGCTCACCCCCTGAAGGAGCAGTCAGGGAAAAAAATGGGGTCAAAACATAGAGGCAGAGGCAGGGCTCTGGGGGAGATCTCAGCTGGCTGTGTGCTTGCTTAGTGCAGGAAGCCCTGGACTTGATCCACATCACATGAATCAGGCATAATACTGCACACGTATAATCCCAGCACTCTGGACTGGAGGCAGGCGAGCAGAAGTTCAAAGTTATCCTTGGATATACACAGTGTCTAAATCCAGCCTGGGATATATGAGGGGGAAACACCAGGAATGAGCCAAGGCCCAGAAGAGCAGAGAGCCCAAGGGGAGGCCCACCTGACCAGGCATGACGGATAAGCATACATGCACACTAGAAAGGTCAGCGCCACCATGTCTACTGGGCACACTGAGGTCACACAGGCTGCCATGGAATGACACTCTGTAGCTAAGTCTGCAGAGAAAGCCCCCCTCCCTTGCTGACATTGTTCCCACTGCCTGATCCCACCCCCTGGGTCCCAGCTGGCCACTGTGGTACTGACCAAGGACTGCAAGATCGCATGATTGGTGGCATTCATACAGGAATCCAGTGGGAAGGCACACTCCCCCTCGCAGTAATAGGCTGAGTAGCCTTGGGGGGCGATGACCCAGTCCTGTGGGGGGGAAAGGTGCGTCACATCAGCGTGTCCTTCCAAGACCACTGGCACAATTCCTGTCACAGGGTGACCTGAGGCTGTGAACCCTTGTCCCCTCATCCCCTCAGCAGGCAGGGTGTGACCCCAGCTCTGTCCTCCAGGCCTCACCCTCCTCTGCTGTGTCCTCCTGCAGCAGCTGTGGCAGGAAGAGCGCAAAGGACCCGCCCACCCAGCCTCAGTTTCCCCATTCTAGCGCTGACAGTTTACTGGGCAGAGGGCTCAGGTGGCCTCCGTTTTCCCAGTTAAAGGCACAGTAGCTCCACCCCTCCCTGGCGACACCAGGCTCTTGAGGTGGCTTTCAGAGAGGAGAAGCAGACATTACCAGCCAGCCGAGGTCCCGGAAGCTGACATAGAGCTCATGCCTACGGCAAACATCTCTGCCTCGGGAGCCGTGGCCATCATCTGCAGGGACAAAATGGTACCAAGTCTATTCAGAGGTTCCACTCTACGGAGTTACCATGGGTACTGCCAGTGTCGGGGTGGCATTAACAGGCACATTTACAAATGGAGGACAACAGGAAGCTAAACCATTGGAATCCCAAGTTCTACCTCTGGATCCCTGCTCATGACCCAGCTCAGCAGTGGCTCCTCAGTGGCTCCCATCACCACAGGGTGTGGCTGTGTTCACACCTCGGCACACATGGCTTCTGATTTCTCTGCACACTTCCCACCCTCCCTGCCTGGCACACCAGTTAGATTCATTGGCAGACCACCGCTTTCTGAAGGGGCCTCAGATGATGCTCAATCCCACCCTCACCAAAGATCCCTGGGAGTCTGTTGGGATGGGGAAGCTCGTTCGTTTTCTTTGGCTGCCTCTTCTTCAGAGGCCTCACTGCCCGAGGGGCCCGCACAGGACTCGGGCTGGCTCTGAAGAAGGTGACCATGAAAGGCTGTCTGGAGCGTGGTGCCTGTTGTCCCAGCAGACCTGCCAAGCCAGGATCCATGCTGTGCCCTGGGAGATGGAGACAGAGATGAGAGAGAAGAGAGAGAGAGAGAGAGAGAGAGAGAGAGAGAGAGAGAGAGGAGAGAGAGAGAGAGAGAAACTGACTGACTTGTGGATGGTGGTGTGGCATCTATGAACCTATTTTCTCATCTGAAGTCCAACCCAAGCACTTGAGCCAGCAGGTATGAGGTGGCAGGGACAAGGACCTCAGCAGCTACAGGCATAACCTGACATAGATGGGAACATTTGGCAGGTGTCAAGGGTTCCGCCCATTAGTTTCCTCAGGCGGTCGTCACTGTACCCCAAGTCACAGTCACTCAGAGATGAGCAGAGTCCTCTGCTGGTGATGCTCAGGACCCAGACTCCCTTGGTCCAGTGATCTAACACCCGGTCCCATCTTCATCCTGCACTTTCTGGGGACTAGAACGTGGGGTTCATGACCCACCAGCTCATGGCTGCCTCCGCAAGGACATTGCTAGGGCTTATCCTCCCAGCCCGGCAAGCTTGATCATCCAAGGGCAGGACAGTCACTACCCTGATGCCCACTGATGCTCATGACCCTGATCCCAGACTAAGCAGGGCCAGAGGTAAGAACAATCACAAAGTCCTGGGTCCAGTTCACATCAGGCTCAATCCAGTGTTGGTGTTGTATTCACCAGGCCAGCCGATGGCTTCAAAGAAAGGGAGGGGCTTGAGGGAGCCAGACCGGAGCTTGTCCACGGGAAGAGTGGAGCGTAACGGGGGGGGGGGTGTCCCCTGAGCCACTAAGGACTGCAGATGCCTCCACAGTACAGTCAACCCAGGAGAGCAAAACCTCCAGCACCGCTCAGACTTTGCTGAGGGCCCCGTCCTTTCTAACTGCAGAAGTAACATATTAAGCTGGCATGGCGGCAATCTCCTGCAAACCTGACATTGGGGCGGAGGATACAGGAGGATGAGGACGTCAAGGTCATTCTATTCTACATATTGAGTTGGGGGTCAGTCAAGTAAGAGCCTGTTTCCAAAAGCAAACAAGGTTCCGCATGGTGGCGCATGTATTTGATTCCAGCACTCAGGAGGCAGAAGCAGGCAGATAGCTATGAATTTGAGGTTAGCCTGGTCTCCATAGGTGAGTTCTAGACCCACCAAGGCTGTCTCAAAACAAACAAACAAATGAAAAAACAACCAACCTTACAAAAAAATAAAATTAAAGATACAAACCAAATAAAAACAGGCAAACAGTGTGATAAACACAGGAGGGTAAAGAACTTTGAAGAAGGAAGAGTAACCATAAATTTCATTCACAACTCCAGAGCTCTGCTATTTCGCATCCTGGGCTGCTTCTGTCCTGCTGGTTTAAGTTGTAACAGTCTTTAGCACTGCAAACCTTTCTTGTCGTTAGAACCATTAGAATCATTCTGCACAGCCGGGCGGTGGTGGCGCATGCCTTTAATCCCAGCACTCGGGAGGCAGAGGCAGGCGGATCTCTGTGAGTTCGAGACCAGCCTGGTCTACAAGAGCTAGTTCCAGGACAGGCTTCAAAACCACAGAGAAACCCTGTCTCGAAAAACCAAAAAAAAAAAAAAAAAAAAAGAATCATTCTGCACGACAATGGCCACACGCAGCAGGCATGACAGGGCTCAGAACCATTCCCTTTGGTGCCCTGTGAGATTCCTACACCAAAGCCCGACAATGCTCATGTTATCCATCACTAAACACAGCTCCATTGTTCAGTTGACATGTCACAAGCACTGATGCACACATGTACATGCATGTATATTTACAGACACTAATGTGACTCAGTGTTCTCACTTAGTGTACTCAGGGTCCTGGGTTCTATCCCAACCCTGGAAGAAGGTAAAAGAGCCCAAAGGGCAGAGCCACAGCCCAGGAGTGCAGCCTTGTCTGGTAAGCATGAAACCTTAGGTATAATCCCAACACAAACCGTAACGAAACAGAACACACTCATACGTGCATGCACACTCAGGTCTGTGTGCTCCGTTTGCACTCTACCAGGCTCTTCGTCACACACTGAGTCAAGGCCACTGTCCACTGTGGTGGACAGTCCACTCAAAGGTCAGCCCTTCAGGCAGCTGGACTCCACACTCCACATCTTGACCGGACTCCAGATGTCCACCTGCCACTTGAAAGGAAAGCTCATCAATGCAACCTTTGGCCTATGACTTCACCTGCTACTAACAAAAGTGCGAGGCCTGAGACTCCATCGCAGGACCACGACTGAGGGCTATGGGACAAGGGGACAAGGGGCGTGGGCTGCAGGCATGGCCCGGAAGAGACTCAGGTGAGGTCAGGCAGGAGGAATGGGGTCCAGAGTGAGGCTGGTGGGAAGCAGGTGGTGTGAGAAGGCAGAGCCTCAGGCAGATGGAAAGATAGCCAGGGCCCCGGGGCCACACATGGGGAGGGCAGAGCAGCTGGGAGCTGGAAGGACCCACAGTGTCAGGCCCTGTGAATGACACAAGGGGCAGGCTTGGGCCCAGGACAGGGCCTGTGTCCCTGCTTCTTACTGTGGAGTCCCTGAGGCCTGGTTTCTGCGGAACTCAGAGGCCATCAGTGTTCCAGACTCAGCCACGTTTGCTTTTCTCTTATGTAACTGGTTTTCTAGGCTCTGCTGGACACAGAGCAGTCCTTGGCTGAATTCTTCAAAGCTAGCTTGGATGGGTGCTGGGAACCTCTGGGGGCTCCCAAGGCAAGGTTAGCTGTACTGGGAGCCCATGGATGCAGCTAAGCCAAGGTTCCCATTTTAGAGGCACACAAACTAAGACCCAGAGAGGGCATCAACTCTTCAAGGCCTGGAGCAAGCAGCTGCAGAGCCAAGCAACTCCTACCCCGCCCAGCACAAGGCAGAGGCCGAGTGAGGCAGGGCAGAAGCCCACAGGAACTGCTGCTGCTCTTTTCAGAGTTCTGTATTTGATGTGCACAGAGAAGGTGTTCCTCGCCCGAATCGGAGAGCACCTTCCCTATCATATTTGCTCCTCGATCCCAATCATCAGACAGAACTCTATCTGATCAAAGGTCACCAGGCTTCCCAGCTCTGGACAGAAAGGAATCGGGGTGGGGGGGGATGCTTTCTCAGAGCACACACACACACACACACACACACACACACACACACACATTTTCATTTTCACTGTGAGATTACAGATTCAGAATGACAGACCCCAAGATGCCATATTGGAGTTAGGAAGGGAGGCCAGAGGACTTCCCGGACAGAATGTCAGTGTGGTAGGGGCAACAGGAGACACTGCAGTTCACTAGGTAAGAATTCATCCATGTGCTGAGCTTGGGCCTCTTCGGAGACGTGCGGAACACTGTTTATGCACAGTGGGTTTTGCAGGCAGAGAAACAGCACCAACCAGCTTCCCTCTGTCTCATCCCACAGGCCACAGGCTACAGGCCTGCCTCCCTTCTAGGGACACATAAGCTGCTCCCAGAAGGAAGGAGGGTGAAGGCCATATTCGGGGTAACAAAATTAGGAGTAGAAACAAGGGCCCAGGAAGAGAAGCCAGAGCTCCTCCTGCTCACAGACCCCCTAGTTCGGCATTTTGTGGCACCAGGTGAACTCTGGATTCCTCCCCGCCCTTTGCTTTCTCTACGGTTCATGATTCAGTTATAAGGAGCAGCACTGGTCTTGAGACCTGTCGGGGGATGCTCTGGAGCCTGTATGCGAAAGTCACAGAAACTGGGAGAGGCGGAAAAGTCTCCTCGATGGTTTTGGCGAAGGGCTTTAGTAAGGCACCGGACACACAGGCTCAGCTTAGGATTTTTAATTAAAATCACTCAGCTCTTGAGAAGATACCATCTGGCAGCAGGAAGACTGAGGAGCCAGTGGCACACAGGTCAGATGTCCCTGTGGACGCTAACTCCTTCGCAAACCAGCCCTGGAGGGAGGGGTCAGGGCTCCTCAAGCATCAGGTTTGATCTGCTGCATGGGCTTGAGGTTGGGGCACACCTTAAAGGAGCAGCCTGTGGTGGCCTTGAGGTCATCCATCGACGTGCCCTCCCACAGCTCCACCAGTGTCAGCCCCTTCTTTGGGTCCACCTTAAACACGGCCTTCTCAGTGATGATGAGGTTCACGCAGCGTTTGCCCGTCAGCGGCATGGTGCATTTGTCCAAGATCTTGGGTTCCTTTGCCTTGGTGCAGTGTTCCATGGTGACCACCACTTTGGTGTTACCTGACACCAAGTCCATGGCTCCGCCCATGCCCTTCACTTTCTTGCCTGGCACCATCCAGTTGGCCAGGTCACCGTATTTGGAAACCTGCATGGCACCGAGCATGGTCAGTTGGATGTGTCCTCCGCGGATCATGGCAAAAGAGTCATCGCTGGCGAAGAAACAGCCCTCGGGGATCACGGTCACCGTCTGCTTGCCCGCATTGATGATGTCGGCATCCACCTCATTTTTCAAGGGGAACGGGCCCAAGCCCAGGATCCCGTTTTCACTATGAAGGTAGACTTTCATCTTGTGGCTGATGAAGTTGGTGGCCAAGAGAGGGATCCCGATGCCCAGATTGGCATACATGCCATCCTCGAACTCGAGAGCCGCGCGCTTGATAATGCGCGTCCTGATGGAGTCCTGTTGCTTGCTCGCGGCTGCGGGCTGGCTGTCGCGCGTGGTCCTGCGCTCGATGCGCTTCTCGTACTTCGGTCCCTTGATCACACGGTCCACGTAGATGTTGGGGATGTGGATGTCCTCTGGGCGGAAAGTGCCCACGTCCACGATCTCCTCCACCTCCACCACAGAGACGTCCGCGGCCTTGCACATGGGCACGTTGAAGTTACGCGCGCTGCCCCGGAAGATCACGTTGCCAGAACGGTCGGCTTTCCAGCCCTTGACCAGGGCGAAGTCGGCGCGGATGGCGTGCTCCAGCAGGTAGTGGCGGCCATGGAACTCGCGCACCTCCCGTGGCTGGCTCAGGGTGACCAGGTGGCCATCTGGCGCGTACCGGATCAGGGCGCCCCCTTCCTGCACCAGCGTGCCGTAGCCCGTAGGAGTGTAGAAAGCGGGCAAGCCCGCGCCGCCTGCGCGGATGCGCTCGGCCAGGGTGCCCTGCGGCGTCATCTCCAGGTCCAGCTCGCCCGCCAGGTACAACTTCTCGCACAGCGCGTTCTCCCCCAGGTACGAACACACCACGCGCCTGACCTGCTTGGAGGCCAGCAAGATGCCCAGGCCGAAGTCCTCCACGCCCACGTTGGTGCTGACGATCTTCAGGTCCTTCACGCCCTTGGTCTTCAGCGCGCCGATCAGGTTCTCAGGGATGCCACAGAGCCCGAAGCCTCCTAGCATGACGGTCGCCCCATCCTTGACGCCCTCCACCGCCTTCACAGGGTCCGTGTAGAAGTGGACCCGTCCGTAGCGGTCGCTAGCAAAGCGGAGGACAAGGCGGAGGGGCAGCGCGGGCGGTGGGCGGCAGATGGAGACCACGCGCGGGAGCGCCCACGCCAAAAGCCTCAGTGCCGCCATCGCCCACAGGCCACGAGGCTCCCAAGACCCGGACAGAGCGGGAAAGGCCTGTGAGCTGCCCCATGCCACCTCCGTGCTGCGTCACAGAGCTGGGAGGACACTCACTGGGATCGCCATGGGTCACACTCTGCCTGAGGACACCCTTGGCCATCCCTGTCGCCTGACCTGTCTCACAACATCTTGGATAGACACTCGAAATAATGCTGCTGACAACTGACTGCCAGTGCTGGGTCCAGTCCCCCCCCCCCCCCCCCCCCCCGTAGTACCCTGGAAAGCTCACCTGGGGGCGGGGACCTGGGGGCGGGGTTAGGGTTCCTCGAGGGGCTGAAGTTAGCTGGGTCTTTTAAAGCCACAATCACATCTGTCCCCCGCTGCTGTTAAACTGCTCGAAACTTTCCAAGGACCTTGCCAGCTTTCCCTAACTCAGAGTGACCCCTGCCACCGCTCTGCCCCTCTCCTTCCAAGCTATCCCTCCAGCCTTTTGCTGGACCCCAGACAGGCCAGCCTCCTGCCCTGCTGTCCTTTCTGCCTCACTGCCCCACATAAAGGGCACGAAACCCCTGAGAGTGAAGCAGCGGCTGTAAACCTGTGTAGACGGGGAAACTGAGGCACGGGTACTGAGCTACAACACTGCAGAGCAGGGATAACCCAGGCTCTGCACTAAGGACCTGGGGTGCGGGTCCCCCACCCCTCCTTCCTAGTACAGAACCTCTCGGAGTCTGCTGCCCATGAAGAAGTACCCGCCCATTGGATGCTCCCTGGCTGGGGCCTCCCTGTGTCCAGGACCTCACCACTACCCACTGAGTCCTCAAGAAAGGCCAAGTGTGGCCCAGTGAGAGGGCTCCGAATATTAAGCTGGCAGCCTGGGCTGAAACCACCTCCCAGGACCCCCAGGGCAGCTCCCTGCTAAGCCTGGGAGCCTCACCATCCTCGGTTTCCACATAGAGGCGGAGTCCCAGGTCCTTCTTGTGGTTCAGCAACCAGCGGTCACTGGCTGCCGTGATGTCCAGCACCAGCCAGCCCTCGTCCCCAGATCGGAGCGTCTGAAGATCCAAAAAGAACAAGTCAGACTCCCTGTGGACATGAAAGAACAATTAACCAAGGGCCGAGGTCGCACGCCTGCCTGTATCTTGTGCCTGCCTGGGGGACCACTTTCAGAGCCTCTTCCCTGCTCGGCTCTGAACTGGCCTCCTCTGGTACCACAATTCACTGATAACCAACCCTGGACATTTTTTTTTTTTTTTGGTTTTTCGAGACAGGGTTTCTCTGTGGTTTTGGAGCCTGTCCTGGAACTAGCTCTTGTAGACCAGGCTGGTCTCGAACTCACGGAGATCCGCCCGCCTCTGCCTCCCGAGTGCTGGGATTAAAGGCATGCGCCACCACAGCCTGGCCAACCCTGGACATTTTACTGTGGCGATGCGCTGATGGGACACTGGCTCCGCTGTGGCCTATTAGGGCTCCACAGTCATCGTGGCAGCGCAGAAGGTTCCAGGCCAAGCCCCTTTCTCGTGTCTGAGGTGCCTCTCCCAGGAGGCTCACCTTTCCTTTCTGGGAAATGCATCCTCAGTCAGGCCCTGCCAGAGCCTAGACCATGAGACCATGAGTGGGGTGGGTACCTGGACAGAGGGAAGATACCTGTTGGAGTGCTCCTGGACCACCTCGAACATACTGACATGGAGGGTTGTGTTGAGCGGGTGGGTGCTGGGCTCTTTATATATCCGGAACTCAGCAGCTGTGACAACCTCCCCAGCAGGGATCTGGGTTAGGTCAAAGCGGAATTCCTTCCAGTGCGGCTCCTGGTAGTCCAGGGTACGGTCGCGCTCCACTGGAAGAGAAAGTGGGAGTGGGGTCATTACTGGGAGCCAGGATGGCTTATGCTCAGCGTAGGGCTCCCTGTGGTGCCTGGGGTTGGGGGCCTGCTGCTGCTATACACACAGCTTGTGGTCTGCTCTGGGAACACACCTGGCCCCAGGAGGTGGTGTAGTGGGAAACTCAGCAAGTGTTCAGCAGGGTCCTGGTCCCATTGATGAATCACGATGCCTCCTTTTTGAGCTGCTAGGCCAACAGCGAGATGGACATTGGTCCCAAGGCAGAAAATCAGCACAGTTCCAGGAGGAAACCTCGTCTACAGGGACGTAATTGGCTGAATTTCAGTGGGACAGAGGACTCCCAGCGCCTGCCCTTGAGGAGAAGGTGGGATGGGGGAGCTCGGATCTGACAGCTGAGTTGAGCTGTTAGTTCTGTGTTTGAATTTCCTGGGTGTCCTGGGAGAGGGATGTGCAGAGTGCACGCCACATTACAAGGCCAGCAGCAGAAGGACCTTAGGAAAAGAAGGGACACCCAGTGCCAGCAACCAGGGGACAAAGGACCTGCTAGAGGATAAAGGCAAGGAGACAGGCAGAAAGCAGGAGGAAACAGTGATATCTGAAATGATGGACAAGACGGTGTCTTGGCAGTGGCCAAGCATGCTCTAGACAGAGGGGAGTTGTCTGTAGACCATGGTCCTTGGGTGGAGCAGTGGGGTTGGCTGGAATCCAGGTTTGGGAGCAAGGCTGTGCCAGTGGGAGCTATGTGGTCTAAGAGACCCCCTACGGGACCTGCTGGAGGTGAAGATAATGGCAGTCTAGGGTGACAGCTGAAGGCTGGGAGCTATCCTTGCTCCCTATAGCAAATGCCAAGTTTTTAGAATAAAACATGTGCCCAGCTGCCCAGATGTGCTCGGGAAGGTATATTTAGGGTAGCCTCATTTCAGCTGCTTGTCACTTTCAAATGCCAAAAATCTGTGTTTCCGGAAAGAAGGGGTGGGGAGCTACCCAGCACCGTCCCCAAAACTCAACAGAGATTTTAATTATATGTTTTAGTCTTAAAAAAAAATCCTCTCTGTGGCTATGGGCTCGGTGACCACAAACCAGGTTTTAAAAAGCACCAGGGTGAGCGGATGTGAGGAGTACTTCCTGTCCTCTCCCTAGAGTTCTGGTCCAGTGATAGATGGAAAACAGATGTGCTGGGCAGAGCCAAAGGATAGACACATCTGGGCAGGAGCAGCAGGTGGAAAGGGAGAGGAAGGAGTAGATAGTGTCTCATAGCATCTAAAGGTGGTGGGCACACAGCATGTGCCCAAAAGTCGAGATAGAATGTGACAGGGTGTTGGTCTCTCCCTCGTAGGTCACAAGGCAGACCGCATTGAGAGTGGGTTCTGAGCCCTGGCCAAGTGCTTTTTCCTGCTATGAATATCTATCCTCATGTGTCCTCCTTCCTACCTAGCTACTTGCACATCCACAATGTTGGTGACCATTTCAGTGGGTTCAGGAGCTGCACAGGCACCTGTCCTACATGATTGTGCTCAGGCCCTGATGTACAGGATAAAGTTGGTCCAGGCTGTTTTCTGTAACAGGGTGTGGTCAGATAGGGCCCCTCGGGCACATCCTCCTCCCCACCTTTTTCAGGACAAAGTGGGGCACACAAAGGCATCCTGGGAGCTTTATCTGAAGACCAATCCCGAACTCTGTGGCCACCCTCCCTTAATGATGTGCATGGCCTTCACGGGGTGTCTTGAAATACTCTTAGACTGAACTGGTCCTTACTTCCAGACTTCTGGCTATGGGCTTGTGAAATCGAGAGGCAGGGTTTCCAGCACCGGAAACTGCTGTGGTTGTCCCAGGCAAGTAGTGGGTCTGGGAAGGTTTTCGTTTGTTTCGTTTTGGTTTGGTTTTTTTTTTTTTTTTTTTGAGACAGGCTTTCTCTGTGTAATAGCTCTGGTTGTCCTGGAACTCACTCTGTAGACCAGGCTCACCTCGAACTCACAGAGGTCTGACTGCCTTTGCCTCCCAAGTGCTGTGATCAAAGGCATTTGCCACCACCACCCGGCTGATCTGGCATGTTTTTAGCAAAATGGATGTCCTTTTCCTCTGAAGTGCCTCAAAGGTCCTGGGATGCCGCACCAAAACAGACACTGCAGCTGAAGCGGCTCAGGGGAAGCACCTGGTTCTTTGCAGGACGGTGGAGCTGCAGTTCCTCTGTTTTACTAGAGTCTGGAAGGCTGGGGTGGGGGCACCGCAGAGCATTCGCTGGGGCTTTGCTTTCCCTATGAGACTCCTTGAATAGCTGTCTCCACTTTAGTCATGGGGTCGCATTCAGAAGTGTGGCTTGATTGCCGTGGCCACTCCAGGGTCATCCCCTGTGAGCTTAGCGTGTCCATGTGAAGTGGGCACACATGGGGATCCTTTCCATGCAGGACTACGGAAGTATAGGAGCTGAGGGATGAGTAGCAGCCATCTGATCTCTAATTTCTCAGCTTCCCCGTCTATCAATGGGCAGCCTTCAGAGAGCCCCACTGGAAGGCTGTGCCGCAGGAGAGCAGGAGACACATTTGATTTCCTCTCTCTCTCTCTCTCTCTCTCTCTCTCTCTCTCTCAACTGGTCTCTCTATGTAGCCCCAGCTGTCCCAGAACTAGCTATGTAGACTAGGCCTGCCTTGAGCTCACAAAAATCCTCCTGTCTCTGCCACCCCAGTGCTGAGTGCTGGGGTTAAAGGCATGTGTCACCACTCCTGGCTCAATTTTATTTTTCTGAACAAAAGAATGAACAAGAAACCATATCATGAAAATCTGTCAGCTCAAAGGCATATGGGATGTTTCCAGATGCCTGATATACCCGTTGGTCTCTGGCAGTTCACTGGGATCTTGTCCTCGGCTGTGTAACGGGCCTCTAATATGGTGCCAAAAGAACCCCACGAGAAGCATTTCCCTTTCCATGCATGCCCAACCCTCACCTTCCTATAAATTAGGGTCCGGAATCTCCCAAAGATGCCGAGACTCCAAGCGGCAGACCCTTCACGATGCTCTGGCTGGGATGAGAGCACCGTGTGGCATTTGGACTTTAGTGCACACGTGGGGGCGCAGCACCCAGAATTCCTACCTTCCGGCAGAGTTCCTTCCTTTACAGCATCCTGACGCTATACAATGGTGGACAGTGAGTTAGAACTAGCCAACAGCAAGACAGATGACCAGGGGAAACAAAAGGCTGTGCTTCCCAGCCCCTGGTTGTAGAGTCCACGGAGTGGATCTGGGAAAGGGGCGTGGCCTGAAAGATGTGGTTTCTCGGGTTTTCCCAGTAAAATCCTGTTGCTGACTGTGATGCTGGCAAAACTCGTTCCCTGGAAGAGTCAGATAGACTCAGTGGGGGTCCGGGGGGGCACTGCCGATTTCCTGGCCACTATGCTGCATCCTGACCATGTGAGATGCCCTGCCAGGAATTCTCGGAGGTGACTGCAGGAGGGGTTGTGATGTTTGGAGCAAGGTCTCTGAGTGTCTCTGCCTGGGCAGTTAATCATGGATAAGTGGGGGTCCCAGAATGTCACTTCAGGGTATGTGGGAGAAGGTTCTGGATGGTTTCTTCTCATGGTTCTCACAGCTTTATAAAATCCTTCACTTTTGTTCTAATGACTCAGGTTAAAAGCATTTACTGCTCTTGCAGAGGATCCAGGTTCAGTTGCCAGAGCTCACTTATCAGCTCACGATTGCCTGCAACTCCAGTTCCAGTGGATGTGATTCCTTCTGATCAGAGAGCTTCTGCACACACCATGCACATATATGCGCACAGGCGCATACATACATAAAACCATTATTTGGGTTTTTTTTTTAATCCTTCAGTTTCTGCATTCATTTTTCCTAATAACATTCACAAAGATTACTTCATTTATTCATCACATTTCAAAATTTCTTTCATCCATTCATTATTGAGTGTGTGTTTATCTACCTGTCTGTTACCATTGTCTGAACCCAGTCTCGACTATCACAGGAAGATGAGCTCAATACCAATGCAACTGAACCAGACTCGTCTCTCTGACGTCCTCCTTCTGTTCCAGGCTGTCATCTGGGACCCACATGGCATGTCCTTGTCACCTCTCTGTGGGCTTCTCCGATCTATCACAGTTGCTAGCCTTTCCTTATCTCTCAATACCTCGGCACCTTTGTAGGGTGCTAGTGGCATGTCTCAGGATGAGCTTGCCTGGTTTGCTCCTGGGGAGAATGATGATAAGCACTTTGGAGAATGGCACAAGTGACCATGCCTTCTGAGGGCATCAGATTAGGCAATACAGTCTCCATGACAGTAACTGAATCCTTGGTGTCTGCCAGAGTTCCCCTTCTATGATGTTACCATTTTTCCTTTCGTAATATGGGAAAGGTATCTTCAGGCTTTTCTTGTTATTTTAAATTTTATTTGTATGGATTTTTTTTTTTTGCTTGCTTGTATGTCCATGCACCACATATGTGTCTGGTGCCTGTGGAGGCCAGAAAAGGGCATCAGATCCCTTGGAATTGAAGTTACAGATGGTTGTGAGCTATCATGTGGGTGCTGGGAGTCAATCTGAGTCCTCTGCAAGAGCAGCAAGTGCTCTTAACTGCTGAGCCATCTCTCCATCTCCAGGACGTGAATAAGGTGTTTCTTCTTAAATCCGTGCTACTTTTAGCATCTACAAGTAGATCTTGCCCTCATCAGTCGACATTATCTGCAATAGTATTTTGTTTCCTTCCTCATTTATTGAGTTGTCCTTTCTCTTAATTATATTAACATAATTACAGATTAATAGATGTTTATTCTATCCCATAGGCTACGATCCAATACTTTCCCTTCTCTTCTCCCCCCCCCCCTTCCTGCCTGGCACAGGGTCGCACTCTGGTAGCCCAGGCTGGCCTCAAATTCATGGTCTTCCTAAATTCTGAGATGAAGCATGCATAGTCACACACGGCTCCTTCGTTCTATGTTGAGACTATGTTGGCATCACAGTCTACATCAGATGCTCGGAGAGCTCGGCTTCCTTTG